TGGTGTTCTCATTCATTACTTTACTCTTGTATCTTGGATGTGGATGGGAGCTGAGGCTTTGCTGATGTTTCAGAAACTGGTCATTGTATTTATGAATGTGACATGGAAATATCTTCTTGCTGTCTCAATTGCATGCTGGAGTAAGAGAATTACCAGTGTTAACTTATGATTTAATTTGTTTTATATTAACATGCAGCCTTGCCTATTCTCCCAATTGTTATAACATTGGCACTTAATCAAGATGTGTACATACATGTACATAGTGGAAGGAAATTGTAAGCACTACATAATAGTACAAATTACTTGCATTTTTCTTAATTCCTCTTTTTGTTGCATAGTTGCTTCATTGGTGAATTGATACCATTCCTTGTTGCATTTCTACTACCAATTCTTCTCATATTTATCTTTAATGTGGTAATGTACATCCTCATCATTCGTGCCATTTTCCTTTACACAATTGACAAGAACAAAAGAATGGGCAAGCCTGCACTCACCAAATATGAAGCAATCAAAATGCTGATATCTTATTTTGGTATCTTGATACTCTTTGGTCTCACGTGGCTGTTTGCTGTCTTCACGTTCATTACTGAGCCTAACGTCTCATTCATGATTCAGTTCTTCTTTGCTTTCTTCAATACATTCCAAGGCTTCTTTATATTTCTCTTCTTTGTCCTATTAAACAGTGATGTCAGAAGTAACTATGTATCACTATTCCGCCGCTGGAGATCAAAGAAACCACCTTCCACTGCAGTAACTACAGCCGCTGCCAAGTACAACCGAACTTCATCGTTAAATGATAAGTTTAATTTAATTCCACATGAACCATCTCATGATGAAATTAATCCGCCAAATTTATGCAATGACACAAGCTCTGATGTGGCTAATGGCTCTACAAAAGATGCAAGCTTAAAGGAAGAAGATATCATGCATGATGGAGATAAAGGTTTTATTGATGATGATGAATTGATGATGTCGGAGTTTGGTAGCATTCGTTTTCAACGGTATCTTAGTGTACGAGGCAAACACTACGTAGAGAAAATTGAAGTCGACTTGTAATGTCAGCACATTAAAAAACTAATAACAGTATTGATTATTATTAAAACCAAGTATTGTTAATGTTTGTATTTACAAAAAATAGTATTTTTGATTATGCTAAATCCTTCAAATATTGTCTTACTCTTTCGTGATATCTTAGACCTCCTTCAATACAGGCCTCCAACAACTGGGAGGAAACCGAATGAGACTCTGCCACACCCACTTGATAAACTCCACTTATTTCCCTTAACAATGGCAGATATACAACAGATTTATATCCGATGACATCTTTGTTCTCATTAGCAGTACTATATTCTTCGGCAATTGTTGGGTCATAGTAAATGTTGCTAGCTTTATCACTGTAAGACTAGAAGTTATTAGGGTAGGAATATTATTATTACTATTGCTATTATTATTCAGTTACTTGCCACAGTGCATGCTGTAGGAAGATCCTTCATTTCAATACCACTTGTTGCCAAGGCAATAGATGCACACAAAATGGCCGCTGTGAGCATGCTGCCATCATTCTCAAGTACGACTATGTTAACCAGTGTTTCAAGTTTTGGAAACGTTTCCTACAAAACAACAAACATACACAATAAACAACAACAACAACGTACGGTCCTAATGGCTCCAACAATTGCTTCGCTTATGATCGAGGACATAAATTTCTCTTCCTTTAATAATATCAAAGTGTAATTAATGATAAATTATTAGGATCACCCACCTGCTGTGACGGTTTTTGAAAATGACAAGAAAAAGGAGCAAATTTTACTTGACATAAGACTTGACCCTACAAAAATTTATTGGTTAATCTCTTCAAAATTCCGCCCCTCTTACCTCTAAGTTAAAATCTTTTTGTGTGTGTCTCGGACCAAGTATAGAACAAAGCACTTTAGTATCGCCAAGCTCAATGTAGGCGGAGCTAGTCACGTGGCTTACAATGCCAGATTGAATTGAAACTGGACGGATATCTGTACATGACCTTCCATCTTGACGTAACTGATTAGATCTGAGCTGAAAGAAAGGGAGAGAATAAAAGAGACAGAAAAAGGGGGAAGCAATTTCAAATGATTTCATGGTTATCTAACTATTGAGTTATCTTCTTTCTTTTCCTTTAAACATAACAAAGGATTCCTGGTTGCTTCTGGAGCAAGATACCTGTTTCTTCTTCCACTTCCAGCTCCAGCCATATTCTTCCACGTTGGAAGGCGTGGCTTTATAATTAATTAACAGAGACTTACAGTCAGTTTCTGAGTTTCACAGTTTGGTTTTCTTTCTTTCTCGATTATTTCCACCAAAGATTCGCTAGGCTCTATTCTACAGAACTTTAAAGGACTCTGGTTGGTTTTTGGAGTTGGAGCCGTGTTATCTCGTTCATCTGACATCCGGGGACCCTGTACAGTAAGAAGTTAGGCTTTAAAACGAGCTTTAAAATCATCAAACGTTAAACTAGGGGCAGTGTGTTGGTTTTAATTCTAAACAATGTGGATGTAAACCAGAGAAACCTTTTGAGAACCTTCTACAGTCGTTAGAGCGAGGCTTTTGTGCTTTAATCCTTTAAAATCGTAACAGCTTTTTTGAAAGAGCAACCAACTAAGCTTACCAGGCCTTTTCAAGTTTCTAGCATAAGTTACAAAGAAGTGGTAAGAAGCTGTAAGTGTCAAAAGTTTCATTAGATTAGCAGTACATGGCTATAACGCATTTACACAGTGTATAATGCAGTATTGTAGTGCCCGTTAGTATGTGTAGGTGGAAAAATCACGTGCTGTTGCCCGGCGGTCCGGGTAGCCTAGTGGTTGAGGGGATGGGCCCAGACCTTGAGGCAAGAAGGTCCGGGTTCGAATCCCCGAAACCGCATTTGTAGACTTTCTTGTAAGTTCTTTAGATAGGTTATAAGCCGTGGCTGGCTTCAGTGGCATGCAATTACATGTAAGTACAATACACTGTGTCTAATATAGTTTAATTAGTATGCATACAGAGCTTACATTATAATGCACACACAGCTTCAGACTACATTACAGGTTTGTACAGTGCTGGTGACACTCTTCCATTGGCTACCATTACTCATAGAGTGCACGCTATGAGTACTGGTAGTCTGTGGGGGGGGGGTGCCATTGGTACTGTATAGATCTGTAGAGCTTATCATGCAATTGTGTATACATACATGAAGCCTCATACTTAATAGTAATATACATACAGAGCCTTTACATGTACTTAAATAGTAACATTATACATACAGAGCCTCATACACACATACACACACGCCAATTTTTTTTCTTTTTTTATTTAAAATTTCAAAGAAATAAAAGAAATGAAAATAAAAATCAATAAGTTAAAAATAATAAGTGAAAATAAGTTAATAAAATAATAAAAATAATAAGTTCAAAGAAATAAAAATAGAATTTAAATTAATTTCAATAAATAAATAAAATAAAATAACATTTAAATTAATTTCAAGTAGTAAAAATTAAGGTTTGTTATTAATTATTTTAAGTTAATAGATCTATGATCACGTGATCACTGTAAGTTTTGAAAGTTTAAATTTCAAACTCAAAGATTAGATCATGCCTTTGACAAGAGTAGGCAAAAGAAGCAGGAAAGAACTTACAGAAGAGAACAATGAAGAAGGAAGCAAGGTTAGTAGATGCTCAACTCGCCATTAATTACCCGTATCTTCCTCTAGAAGAAAAAACAGAAGCGGGGACTGTCACGTGTTTTGTAAATTAAAAATATACATTATTATAATTATAATGTCTTGTTTCATTTGATTACAGAGTATTGTATGAATTTGATCGAATGGATTATCAGTCAGACAAATGGCACACGTTAATAAGAACGATACCTGAGGATATAGTAGAGTTTGCAAAGGTTAGGATCAATTCATGCTAGCACTCACAGAAACATGCAATCTTATGGCCAGTTTTTAAAAAGATAATTTGTATTTTAGATCACTTCTCGAATTGTCTGCTCTTTTTTAAATGGATCAGGTGGGATTCTATGCTTTGGCTGTAGATCAAATGGTAATGCGTTAAAATTAATTATTATAACATGTCAACTCTCTTTCTCTCTCTCTCTCCTTCTCTCAGGTAGGATATATGGTGAAAAGATAAACAGGAAAGAGGAGGATAATATTCGTCTCCTCATTGATGACACTATGAAGAGATTCCACCCTTTTATTTCGCCATCTCATTACAGGTACTTTATGTCCATAATTATAACTACGTGACTAATTCTGTCAGCCTAGCATTTCTAAAACTATACTGCCATGTAGTGAACGTTAGATAGAAACCTCCTGGTAATTGTGGTAGAATAGTATGCAGGGTTTCCCACAGGATTTAAGTATAGTGCTAAAATGGCTAAATTTTGTCAAAAATGAAAAGTAGAGATTTCCCAATTTTAAAAAATTTTTCTGATACATGTACTAGATATTATTTTTTTATTTTTAGGATAAATTTCATCACTGTTAAGTCTCGTTATAATACCTCTAGTGCACCGAATTGTGTCCTTGAGATAAAGGTGGAGAAAGGTGACCCACACGAACTATATGAAACTGAGTATCACGAGGTAGTCCCCTAGCAGAAACCAACTTAGTACTTTAGTTGTTTTAGGTATTTTTAAGAACTGACGAGGGAGAACCATATGGTCCTTTATCGCCTCACGAAATAAAGCGTCATGTACTACAGCAGTACAGAAAGGTGTGGCAAGTTAATTAATGATGGGCGGAGTTATGTGGGTGTGGTTTTAATAGTAATTATTATGGTTATAACAATTACAATTATTATTTTAGAAATTGGAATCAAAGTCTAATTTATGTAACATGTTAAAAGATAAGAAGAAAGCAATTGCACATGTTAGACCGTCGAGGCGTGATACAACTACGAGTGCTCCTGTCAATAAAACTGTATCGGTACCACACCCACTTACTATTAGCCAAAAGGCCGTATTACCTAAGGTATGTACGTCTTGTCCAAGTACCAATATTACTGTCACTGTACAGCCTAGTACTGATCATAAAGATGGTGTTGAGAGCACTTCTCTTCAGTCAACAAAGGATAGTCTTGGAATGGATAATGAAGCTAAGGATAGTCTTGGAATGGATAATGGAGCTAAGGGTAGTCTTGGAATGGATAATGAAGCTAAGGGTAGTCTTGGAATGGATAATGAAGCTAAGGATAGTAATGGACTTAATAATAAAACTAAAACTGCTAGTGCTAAAGATACTCTTAAAGATAAGGATAGTCGTGGAATAATCAGTAAAACTTCTCATGGTCTTGTAACAAATCAAAAAGCTACTAACAAGAGTCGTCCTAACAAGGGCCAGCCTTCTACTTATGCAAAGAAAAGTCATTGTCCTCCTTTCATCCTTCCTCCTCCTCCTCCTCCTCCTTTTGCCTGTCATAATAATGGACCCTTTCACTATCCAGGCTATCAACCACACTTCATTCCGCCTGCTCAAGGATATTCTGCCGGTTACAGAAACCATGGGCATTGTTACAATCATCATTACAATCATTATCACCATTGAGTGAATAAATTGTTCTTTACACTGCCTGTGTTTGTCACTTAGTGTTGTTTTTGTGATTCTCGTGATTATATATTATCTCATTGAATGAATCTTCTGTGTATATTCAGTTTATTGATTATCATTTATCAACATTGATTTATCAGTTTTTCTGATTTATAATCATAAAATAAAACTTCAATAATAATAATAACAACAACAGAAGTTTCTGATAGTCATCAGTAGTGCATATGCTCTTCATCCACTTGCTGTATGACAGTACATTCAGTTTGGAATCCATTCTTTCCTTCCTTCCAGCAGCTACTGCTACAAGTAAACACAAGGACAGTACCATATTCCACCACTGGTAGTCTCAAGGCCCCTTGTACGTGGTCCTGAAATTTCAGATCCTCCTGAAGCAAGTATATGATCTGTGGCAGTAGTTGCAGCTCAAATACAAGTGGGCCACCACAGTGATTGCATGAAGGAATCTCGTTAATGTCTTGTAATGACAGGGGCTGACCACCACGCTGATACCTATTGTAATAGTACATGCATAGAAAATAACTCCAGCAAAAATATTCAGTATACGTACCTGACTAATTGCTGTGGGCATTTTGTCATCTCTTCCTTAAATTTTAAGAACCTTCTGTGAACATCAGTGACCCTCTCATACCCCTCTCCTCCTCCTCCTCCTTCTCCCCTTTCTTCTTGCCATTGTGGATTCTCTTTATAATAAGCTTCCATTAGCTCTATCTCTCTACTATCACTCGATGACACTTCATTGATGATAAGTTCACTGACTGGTAATACACTTATGTAATACGATGGGTAACACAAAGAATCACCATTGCTATGATAGTATGGATTAGTAGTAGTATTTACTGATACTGTATTGATTTGATCAGCTCCACTAATGTTTAATTGATCAAATGAATCAGTGACTGTTGATATATCACTGGATAATGGTAAGGTACCATGTAATAGCCTATGAAGTATAAGGAGGTACTGAATAACAAACCTTTTCGCTACTTTCTCTTACTCTTCATTAGTTTCAGTTCCCCAATCATGAGCGTCATCACACCATTCATAGCCAATGCTAGTATTTACAGGTGGGCCTTCTCCCGCCTCAAGTTGTGAGGGGGTGTCCCTCTTTTGAGACCGTAAGACTAACCACCCACTAGGCAGAAAAGCAAAATTAAATGTAATAATTGGATGTTAGGTTACCACCCGCGGAATTAATTAGTTTAACCTTTTGTGTGACCAACAAGATGGCTGACTGCAACAAAAAATGTGAAGTAGTCTGTGATATGGGGAGCCTTCTAGTGGACAGTAGGCCTGAAGTAGGTGGAGCATGAATCCATTGCAGCTGGAACAAGATGGAGGAACAGAGAGGACTACTTCTGGAAAGAAATCCTAATATTTTTAGTTAAAAATAAAGTCGTTAATTGCAATGTATCTCACTGGAAAACCTCCTAATTTGTTTTCAAACGGTGAAAGCGAAGGAGAAGAACAGTGACCATCAGAAACAGCTAAAAGCAAAGGACTATGAGGGGTCGCCATGTGAGCACGTGGTTAAAGTACACGGTGTTTTACTGGAGTATCCTGTATCCAATTTCATGACCTGCATTCCAACTCCAGATTATTCTCATTTGAAATGCTATGATAGTGTGTATGAGCCATCAGAGGACTCATTCCTATTCCTTGATGCTTTGGAACAGGAACAGGATTTTTTGAAGCAAATTAAGTATGCATAAACTGAATTGATCTTGGAGGGTCAATAATTTTGCATATAATTTTTAGTCCTTTGATTTGTGTTGAAGTTGGTTCTGGATCGGGTATAATTTTAACATTTCTTGCCTCAATCTTAGGCGGAAAATCTCACTACATGTATGTCACATTTATTATTATTATTAATTATTATTATTATTAATATAGTGGCATTGATATTAATGAGAAAGCTTCCCAATGCACACAGCAATCACTTTGTCATCATTCCATTCAAAACTATGACTGCATCTGTGACAATATGGTAAAAATTTTATTATTATTATTATTATTATTATTATTAATATTATGATATAGCATCACTCAAAATTTTTGTTTATTATTAATTTTTGTTCAAATTTATCTGTCGCAGTTAGATTCTCTTAGCTCAAGAATGAGAGGTACTGTTGATGTACTCCTGTTCAATCCTCCATATGTGCCCACTCCATCTGATGAAGTAAGGACTAAATGCATCAAAGCATTGAGGTACTGTATGTACGGTAATTATGTAACCCGTCAAACAGGTTGGGGGTACTGGTCTGTCTGCTTCTTGGGCTGGAGGAATGCATGGGAGAGAAGTAAGTTGAAATGATGATGATGATTATTATTATTATTATTATTATTATTATTATTATTATTATTATCATTTGTATTTGTAATTTGAACTTGTGAAGGTAATAGATTTGTTATTGCCTCAAGTGGATTCATTCCTTAGCGATGGAGGTGTTTTTTATCTGTTGACTGTGGAAGAGAATAGGCCTGGTAGGCTGCAATTTATTAGCTTTATTTTATATATTTTTATGTGTAGGTGAGATATGTCAGTTAATGGCTGCCAAAGGTTTGATTGCTAGTAAAGTCTTAACGAGAAGAGCAAGAAATGAGCTACTAACAGTTTTAAAATTTATAAAAAAAAAATTAAGCAAAGATGATTTAAAATGAATCAGTTACAAATTGCAGTTATTAAGGGCGTGGCTCATTTTGCATTGAGAGGGTGTGGCCGAAGTTATTATTAGTTTTGGCGCCATTGGCGGGTACACACGTGAGGAGTTATTATAAGATGGACATCAGAGGATTCTTTAAAGCAAAAATTAAAGAGAAAGTAAAACATATGTGCTAAGTTTATATTACTTTATAGTTTGGCAACAAACAGGCCGCCATTAAGGAAGATGAAGACGATTTTAAGAGCGTAAAGAGAAGGAGAACTGGAGATAAAAGGAAGAAGCCTCGTCCCCGTATTTTAAGTGATTCTGGTATGATAACAATCATTATATAATTCATTTCTATTAATACACTAATAGACGACGAGGAAAAAAAGGAGACAAAGTTTGTAACAAATTTATCAATTTGTTTTTAATTCACTGTATCATGTAGGCGTGTCAAGACCACACCTCCTGCTGCAAAAGAGGTAGAGCTAAGGAGATCTACGTGAGTTCATTATTTATATAATAATTATTATATTTTTGTAATAGGAGGATTACACCTTTGAAAGAAAAACATGGCCATTTAAAAAAACCTAAGTATTAACCCTTTTGAATTTAACCCTTTCATATTCTTATTGTGTACGTACATGTATAGTAAAGCCACACCCATTAAGACGAAGAATAGGAAAGAGATTTCATCAGCTGAGGAATTCTTTGGTTCTGCTCCTGTAGCCACACCCACTAGCAATAAGAAAAGTACAAAAAAAGAAGAGCCTAAAGAGACACGCCCACAAGATATAGCAGCTGAAAAACCAGCAAAAGGAAAGAGAAAAATACAATATATTGATATTGAAGAAGAAGTAAGTCATTTTATTTTGATGTTATTACTTATTACCCTCTTCTCTCTCCCCCCCTCTCTCTTTTATAGCCACCTGCTCAAAAGCTTAAGTTGTTACGTGATAAAGATCAAAAGGATTTGTCGACTGATAAAGGACACGTCTCAGAATCACCCCCTCTCCCTCCTCCGGCACATATTGATCTTACTTCATCATGTGAATCAGTCAAACAGGAACCTAAAACAATCAAACAGGAGCCTAAAAAAGTCAAACAGGAGCCTAAAAAAGTCAAACAGGAACCTAAACAAGTCAAACAGGAATCGAAGCCTGTCAAACAAGATAGTAAACCAGTTTCAGATGTAAAACCTACTGCATCAAGTGAGCCAGCGAAAAGGCAGAAATCGAGTACACCACCTGCAAAATCTGTCAAGCCTGTTACTGTAAGGACTTTAGTATAAATTCTATACTGTGTGTATTTATGATTGATAGGAGGCTGAGACTGCTTTAAAGACTCCAGCCGCTAAAAGGTACGACAGCTATCGTGAGTACATGAACAGAGGCGGGCCTAAAGCACCTGGATCTAAGGAAATACCACAAGTTAGGATGGAGACAGTTTTATTGTTATTTTTCCTTTTCCCTCACTCTCTTAGGGCGCCCCTAATTGCTTGTATGGTCTTACGTTTGTGTTCACTGGCGTGGGAGAGTCAATGGAGAGGGAGGAAGCAGCTGACATAGTTAAGAGTTATGGTGGTCGTGTTACAACTAGTTTGAGCAAGAAGACTAATTACCTGGTGGTTGGTGAGGGGGCGGGAGTCAGTAAACTATCACAGGTGCAGACAATTTCTATTAATGCATGTACATGTACATGCCAGGGATGGGACGAAGTACATTTAAAAGTACTCTTAAGTAAAGTACAAGTACCTTGCAGTGGTACCTAAGTATAAGTACTGAACCAAAAATGAATTTGAGAGAATTCTTCATTTAGTACATTTTAAATATATTTTGTCTAATTTTATAGGCTAAATCTTTGAACGTTTGCGAGATTGATGAAGATGGTTTCTTAGAGCTTATAAGGACTCGTCCTGAGAGAAAGGGTGTGGTCACCACGCCCACAAACACAGGTGTAAAGTCTCGTAAAAGGAAGGGTAGCTCTAATGAACCCATACCCGTGACCACACCCCCTCCTGCCACTAAAAGACCATGTTATTCAGTTATGACACCTACTTCAACATTAACCACACCCACAACCCCAACCACACCCACTGATCTAAGCTCTATTCCTACTTCATCATTTTATCCAACCACACCCACTTCAACGAAATCTGCAAAACCGAAAGGACCCTGTAAGTCAATTTAATGATGTCACCTTTATTTAACTGTCTCTCTTAGCAACGTTATTGTGGGTTGATAAATACGCCCCAGCTAGTGTCAAGGGTATCATTGGACAGCAAGGTGGAAAGAGCAATGCTAACAAACTCTTAGAGTGGCTGAAAGTTTGGCACAAGTATCATGGAGTGTCGGCAAGCACTAGGAAACTAACTGGTAAGGGACATACAATCAATAACTCTATATTCAATCATTTGATGGTGCTGTCCTTATGTGTTCACATAGGAGAAGGTGTGTTTCATAAAGCAGCTCTATTATCCGGCCCACCTGGAATAGGGAAGACTACCACAGCTGTACTTGTTTGTAAAGTAAGAGAAATACATTTATGTACCTCCACTTTACTCACTCCATCTCTCCTTTATTATTACTTTCATATACGCATTAATGGTACACCTACTCCTTCTCTTCCTTAGGAATTAGATTACACATTCACTGAGCTAAATGCAAGTGCCACTAGGAGCAGGAAGTCACTGCAACAGTTTGTAACCGACTCACTGTCCTCTCACTCAATGGACTCTTACATTACTGGCGGTAAGAGAAGCACCTGCCGATAATTATACACATGTACATGTACATTCTCTTGTTATTATTGTGTGGTGTAGGTTCTCAGAGACACCATGTCCTTATAATGGATGAAGTTGATGGTATGGCTGGTAATGAAGACAGGGGAGGAGTAATGGTATGAGAGTATGAATGTTTGAGAATGAAATATTGTAGACTGTACACTAATCTATCACTCCGTATGTATTTTTTGTTTTTTTTTTGTGTTATTATTTTAGGAGTTGATACAGTTGATTAAGACATCCCGTGTCCCTATCATTTGCATCTGTAACGATCGTAGTCAAGCGAAAATGAGATCTCTAGCAAATTATTGCTTTGATTTGAGATTTTATAAACCGAAACTCGAACAGATTAAAGTAATAATAAGTCTCGCCCTCTCTCCTTATTTTAAAACTAATCCCGAGTGTTCTGGTGATATTGGTTAACCTTTACAGGGTCCGATGATGTCTGTGGCTTTCAAGGAAGGCATAAAGATAAAGCCGGAAGCACTGAATGAGATCATAATATCTTGCAATTATGATATTAGGCAGGTCAGTAGTGGCAATAAGGAAATTTTAAATGTACACGTACAAAAATTTACATGTATACATGTGTAGGTATTACATAGTCTGTCGATGTTAGCTGCTGGCACTACTAGTATCACTAAAGAGTCTCTCGGAGGAGGAGAAGGAAAGACCTCCATTAGGAAGGTTTGGCATTCATTCTCTGGCTGTGCTTTAATTAGAATAACCCCAGAGCCCCTTTGACGTGGTTCGAAAGGTCTTCCAACCTTTTGACGGGCAGAGGGAGCTATCGCTGAGGGAGAAATCTGATTTATTTTTTACCGATTATTCTTTAATGCCACTTTTTGTACAAGAGAATTATCTTCAAGTCAAGCCGGTTAACAATACTGGGACTGCTACACTGTAAGACATAACGTTGTATGTACATTCACAGTTTACCTTCTCTCTCTCCCTCTCCCCCTCCAGTTCAAAGATCCAGTTATTAGAGAAGGTTAGTTCAGCTGCTGATTCCATAGCTCAAGGTGATCTTGTGTCAAGAATAGTCCGCTCAGATCAAGGCTGGCAGCTCCTCCCTACACAAGTACAGCCCATCTTCTGAATATCATGTGATTGTAATGTAATGTAGGCGATATTCTCCAGTATCTTACCTGGCGAGTACATGCGTGGTGGTATGAGCCTACCAGAGTTCCCTCAGTGGTTGGGTAACTATTCAAAGACTTCGAAAACCGATAGAATATTGCAGCAGCTGGTTAGTCATTCCACGTTGAAGTAAGTGGGAAAAGAAAAGGGAGGAAAGGTTGTGAGTCTTTTTCAGTTGTTCCTGCAATAAGACAGAATTCCTTCTTGATTACTCTCCGCTATTGAGTGCTGCACTTACTGCTCCTCTTCAAAACAACGTGGGTCTATTATAACATACTGTAATAGTCAGTGATTGTCATGTGATCGTTAGGGTGACAAGGAAGGTCCCTCAAGAGTTGTAGAGACACTGAAAGATTATGATTTAACGAGAGAGGACTGGGAAGATGTGATAGAGTTGAATAGTTACTCAGGAAGAGCCTCAGCATTATCTACCATTGACCCAAAGGTAATGTATATGACAAGGTGCATCTATATGTATAGTACTATGTAAGACATATTTAAGAAAAATTGAGTATTAATTTTTCCTAAATTATTGATAGGAGACTGTTTTTTGGCATAAATTGGTTTACTTTACATGTAGAAATTCTATCAAAATTAGCTCAAATTTTATCAGGTAAAAGCAACATTGACAAGACTGTACAATAAGGAAGACATCAAACTGCCATACAGTGTCATGACTGTTCGTACGAAGAGAGGAAGAGCTTCACTGGAAGAGGAGGAGGAGGAGGAGAGAGAGGGAGAAGAGGCTGCCAGCAGCAGTGGAGATGAAGGGGACTTGTCGTCATTGGGTGTCAAAGCTGTTAAAACTGATAAAAGATCATCCACTGCTAGCAGCAGTAAGAGGAGGAAAATAAGTAGTAACAAGAAAAAACAGAAGTGATTTGTATGAATTTATTAGAGGCAGTTTATCTCTTTATCTTTGTACTTCACTCGCTCTCTTTATTATTATTATTATTATTATTATTATTATTATTATTATTATTATTATTATTATTATTATTACCAGTATTAGTTTATTTGTAATATTTGTACTGCTACTACATGGACTCAAAAGTACATATGTCACATCACATGTACTGCTTTTGAAGATCAGCTCAAACTTGATATACAACACAAGAACATGTACACGTATATGCATCAGAAAATCATAGTGGGTTGTTAACCTAGTCTAGGAAGGGGTGTGGCCAGACTAGGTGTTAACCGCTCATTAATTTTATACGTAATGGTGCCAGCTAAATGTCACTGTAGTCTTTATTAATTAGTTTAATTAATTAATTGTAATCAAAGAATGCAAATTAATAATGATTTAAAATGATTATTTTACTACAGTCAACTACTAAAATCAATAAATCAATCAATAACGACAAACGAAATAGTACACCGTCTTTATGTCTCTCCTCCTCTCTCTAATCTTCAAAATTTATGAGACTTGTTGGCTCTTCTTCAGTCGTGTCTCCCAACGGTTTCTCATAATCAACCGGGTCTGGTAATTTTAACTCACTCTCCTATGGGGAGAAGGGGGAAATTTAATGCAAAATTGTCAAATAAAAGTCTCCATAAAGAGCTAGAGCATCTCAAAATTTTCATAAAGAAAATTACAAATTTTCCATAATGAGCATGTACGTATACTAAAGGATCTCACCTCTTCACTGGTTACATCAGGGCGGGGTATTGGCTCCACCCCTTTCCAAGTGTCCTGTGTTGTTGACGTCACTTCACTTGATGTGTCGGCTACTATTGGCTTAGACATTGCCCATTTCTGTTTCAGGGTAACAGGAGCACCTCCTAATGGAGAGAGGAGAGACAGTAAAAGAATCACATAACCAAGACTGCTGATCTAACTTAGAGCTGATTCTAATCAAATTCACACTCACACTCACCGTGAGTGGTTATTAAAACCGGGCCAAAGTCCCTGTACTATAGTACAGGGTCATCGGCTAAATTTCACCAAAAATGACTAGGAGAGAATTCTCCATTTTTATTACATTTCCTGATGCATATACATGTTCTGATGTTGTGTATCAAGTTTGAGCTGATTCCGATCAAGTTTGGATTTTTTATGAATTTTTAAAGTTGCTCCAAAATCAGGCCAAAGTCCCTGTACTATAGTACAGGGTCATCGGCTAAATTCCACCAAAAATGACTAGGAGAGAATTCTTCATTTTTATTACATTTCCTGATGCATATACATGTTCTTATATTATGTAGCAAGTTTGAGCTGATTCCGATCAAGTTTGGATTTTTTATGAATTTTTAAAATTGCTCCAAAATCTGGTCAAAGTCCCTGTACTATAGTACAGGGTCATCGGCCAAATTTTGCCAAAAATGACTAGGAGATAATTCACCATTTTTATAATTTTTTCTGATACACATACATGTTCTTATATTGCACAAAAAGTTTGACCTGATTCCGATCAAATTTGAATTTTTATGAATTTTTAAAGTTGCTCCAAATGCCATGTACTGTATTGTAGTGCTTGTCAGCTCATGAAGCTCATGCTGTTTAGCTCACTTAGCATGCTTTGTGGGAAACCGACCACATGCATTAAAGATAGGAAGGAATAGAAGCCTACAGACTTCCATTGAGAATACACAATAAGAACAATGTACACGTACACAGTACCACAATCTTATTATTAATTTCCCAGTTTACTAGAGCTGTACCCTCTTACCAGATTCCTCACTCCCCCACTGCGAATTGGTAGAAGTTCCGCCAACTTGTGAGGCACTCTCAAACTCGTCAATGGAGGTAAGTTTAGACGAACTTATCGTCGAATAATCTTCGCCTTGTGAGATGATTTTAGAGCAACGAGCACAGATTAATACTTGTAGATCAACAGAAGGGCCCACCTCAGGCATCTGAATAGATACAAAACAGAATAAAAACAATAGATAAGGAATTTTAAAATATATATCATTATATTAGGATAAAAGTTTCAGAAATAACTGTTGGCTTTGTTTGCTTGTGAGGAAAAAGTTATACAAAATGTAATTAATAATCTTCATAGATCACTACTCCATCGTTGAACCACAGAGATTTTATTGAATGAACGCTTAAAGCCGTTCTGCCACAAGGGAATCAAAAACTCACTTTTAATGACAGCTTCTTAGCATCTCCAGTTAAAATGACTCCCTCCTCCTCAAGTTCTGCTGCATTCTCAACCACCTCCAGCTCGTCCTCATCGCCATCACTTTCACTAATGTAACCCTCAGACGACGATGGGTGGGCTTTAATTGGAACTACCAAATGAGCCTTACAATTCTTGGGCTGTTTTGACCTATAGGATTGGTGTTCTCATGGTTACGGTAACTACGGATACTCGCTTACTTTTTAATCTTTGAAATCAAATCATCGACATTCAAGTCATTCTTGCTTTCAAAATGGCCGCCCTCCTCTCCCTCTTCCTCACTCTCGTCCTCCCCAGTAGCAGGGACAGTAGTTATTACCGGTATATCTTCATCATCTCCTCCTCCTCCTCCATCACTCACCATGACCTTCTCAGATTCATCGTCCTTGGGAGTGGACTCAGGGGGTGGGGCTTCCGTTACCTTGGCAACCGGTTTCGCTACAGGTTTCCTGTTGGTTGGAGGGGTCCTGGTTGTTGCTGGTTTTTGTAGTTTAGAGGCAGTTTTACCAGTCGGAGTGCTAGTGCCTTTAGCTGATGTACCACTAGTACTGGATTTACTGGAAGAACTGACTGGCCTCTTGGGCGTACCTATGAATAATAAATAATAATAATAATAATAATAATAATAATAATAATAATAATGTACATGCATATGCATCAGTTCTAGGCATTGGAACTGACAATTAGAAATTAAAATAGTTTCACTTTTCATTTACGTAATTCATTAGTAATCAGTTCATGTAACAAATAACAATAAGAATCATATGTACATGTACTTGTTCATTTACAATGATTATTATTATATTCAGTGTTTTAAGTCATACCTCCTGCTCCAGCTGATGTCTTAGCAGCTGTTGTTGTCTTACCAGGCGGTCCAGTACCAGTAGCTGGTTTACTGGCACCACCTGCTCCTCCTGTCGGCTTCTTTAAACTGCCACTAGGAGGGGCTGTCTTAGACCCAGCAGTGGTCTTAGAACCAGCTGAAGGTTTTGAAACGCTCGTAGCTGATTTGGAGGATGCTGGGCCACTGGAAGCTGGCTTGGAGGCTGTAGTTTTAGAAGGAGCAGTGATTGGTCGTGAGGGTAGTTTACTAGCTCCTGCTGCTGGTTTACCTGGAAGATGAGAGACACATTATTTAATAATTAATGATGACAAACCAGTTGCCGGTTTAGTTGGTGGCTTGCTTCTTTCTAAAATTAAAATAAATTAAATTATATGTATATATTCATTGAAAATAAAATACGTTACCTGTTTTTGGTGAAGCTGCTCCAGTGGTGTCAATAGATTTGCTAGAGGAAGTACGCCCGGTTGCACTTGTCACCTAAAAATATAATAAATATCAAAAATGCATGTATTATGTACCTTCTTCTTTTTAGCTTGTAGTTTTTGTATCAGGAAATCAATTGGATTATCTGGCAAATCCTTGACTAGGAGGGAAGTGAGGTCCTGCAGAGATTGTGGGCAATGATAAATGAAAGGATTCCTTACTTCAAATAGAGTCTGTATCTTGTGCTTCCCAAGATATGCCTGAACATTTGCAGGCTGTCCAGTTGCTGCCTCCGTGGCCATCTTTTTGAGGGGTAAGAGTACACGGAGATAACACGGTCCTCATAACCCGAAGAGTTTTGAAAATGAACCGGTGCTCTTAACGGAGATATCCGTAGTATTTGGTGGGTGGTGCTTGAAGGAAAAATACACTGACACAGAAAAATGATGCTCTCCAGATTAGGAAGGACTTCTTGGAGTTGCAGCAGGTCATGGCTCCGTCCTTCATCCTCCTCCACGAGGAGAGGGGTCCTTGGAACGAGTAGGAGGAGCCTAGGGACTTTAAGAAGAGCCAATATAGCCAGAAATAGCCAAAGAATAACGTGAGATTTAAAATAATAGAAAATTATATCAATGTGACGTTATAGATCAACCCTGACTTATAAAACTACCCTGAACTCCTCTGTGTTTGTACGCTCTCTCTCGTCTAACCTTCCATCCCACACTGAAGTGGTTTTACCAGCTCTTTCTCCCACAATGGACCAAGGGACCATTGTAAAGTGGGAGAAAGAAGTAGGTGATAAGTTAGAAGAGGGAGACATCATAGCTCAAGTTGAGACTGATAAGGCTACAATGGATATGGAGACACCTGGTGAAGGATATCTCGCTAGAATAATAGTACCAGCTGGAAGCAAAGACCTGCCACTGGGGAAGGTAGGAGAAAGTTCTTATTTATTTATTTATTTTTTTGTTTAGTTGCTTGCTATTATTGTGGAGGAAGAGAGCGACATTGAAGCTTTTAAAGATTATGCTCCAAGCGAATCACAAACCACGCCTACTCCAACAACACCAGCCCCAGTATGAATCTTAAAATTTTATTAATAAAAATAACCTTTTAAATTATTATTAGGCAGCAAGTGAGCCAGTTAGCGAAGGAGGGGCTGGAGGCGTTCCTCTAGGTATTTTATTAAATTTTGTACATATTATCCATCAAAATTTTACCTTAATTTTTTTCAAATGGGCATTGTGCAAAATTTTTAATGGACATTGTTCAATTTTTATACACATGTACATCATAATTTATTTTGCCAGTGCTTGTAATTATTATTGTATCTACATGTATTATTCCAGATCTTCCATCCCACACTGAAGTAGTATTACCAGCTCTCTCTCCCACAATGGATCAAGGAACTATTGTAAAGTGGGAGAAAGAAGAAGGAGAGAAGTTAGAAGAGGGAGACATCATAGCTCAAGTTGAGACTGATAAGGCTACAATGGATATGGAGACGCCTGGTGAAGGATATCTCGCTAAAATTATAGTACCAGCTGGAAGCAAAGACCTGCCACTGGGGAAGGTAAGAATACTTTATTAAAATGTCCCCAATTTCTATTATTTTTAACTATTAAAATGTGCCCAATTTCTATTATTTTAAAGCTACATGTACATGTATTTGTTACACATTGTTGTACAGTGTACATTACTGTTTAGCTGATAATGTTGGTTACTCTGCAGGGTTCATTCATAATAATGAACCCTTCCAAAAATTGGTAATCACAATCTGTACTACCAGTTAATGACAATACCAGAGTGACATTCAGTGCAGCTCTTTTATGCTCTGCTTTTTGTTCAAGCTCTTGTGGGTTGGATGATACACAATCTGTACCACCAGTTAATGACAATACCAGAGTGACATTCAGTACAGCTCTTTTATACTCTGCTTTTTGTTCAAGCTCTTGTGGGTTGGATGAGGGTTGGATGATACACAATCTGTACCACCAGTTAATGACAATACCAGAGTGACATTCAGTACAGCTCTTTTATACTCTGCTTTTTGTTCAAGCTCTTGTGGGTTGGATGAGGGTTGGATGATACACAATCTGTACCACCAGTTAATGACAATACCAGAGTGACATTCAGTGCAGCTCTTTTATGCTCTGCTTTTTGTTCAAGCTCTTGTGGGTTGGATGATACACAATCTGTACCACCAGTTAATAACAATACCAGAGTGACATTCAGTACAGCTCTTTTAATACTCTGCTTTTTGTTCAAGCTATTGTGGGTTGGATGATAATATGGTCAACACTCGTGTACTTGTGTAAACTGTGACATTGTATCTCTCCCTTTAGTTACTAGCAATTATTGTTGAAGATGAATCTGATGTTGCTGCCTTTAAAGATTATTCTCCTTCTCAAACGTCATCCCCAGCTCCACCCATGCAAGCTCCACCTACTGCCACGCCCACACAAACTACTAGTCCCATCCAATCGCCTCCATCAGGTGTAAAACCTCCTCCTCCTTCAGCCTCCTCTCCTGTTGGTAGGATCATTGCTAGCCCTTACGCCAAGAAACTAGCTTCAGAAAAAAGCATAAACCTTCAGGTATTGTGGTTATTATTATTATTATTTATTTATTTGGCCACACTTTATCCAATAGTCTGTATCCGGTACTGGTCCTGGTGGTCGTATTGTTGCAAGGGATGTTCTTCAAGGTACACCAACTGTAGTTCCTGCATCAGTGACCACGCCCACTCCTGGAGCCTCCTATGAAGACATACAGTTGTCTGGAATGCGCAAAGTAAGAGCAAAAAAATTTGCAGGCCTGACCTTTATAATTTTGTTTGGTTGTTCATGATAATTTGAAAACAGACGATAGCTACAAGACTAATGGAGTCGAAAAGGAACATACCTCACTATTACCTAAGCATTGATATCACTATGGACGACCTATTGAGGTACTTATGCATGTACATGTAATAATTATCAATAGTTTTACATGTATTCATAATTGTAACTAATAAATGACAAATACTTATGATTTTACTAACAATTTTTATTTTATTCAATGGCACAGGTTAAGATCAGGAGTTAATTCCAGTGGAGATATCAAACTATCAGTGACTGATTTCTTAGTCAAGGCCTCGGGACTGGCTCTGATGGAAGTACCTCAAGTCAACTCCTCCTGGATGGAGTCCTACATCAGACAGTACAACAGCGCTGATGTGAGTGTTGCTGTTAGTACAGAGGGAGGACTAATCACACCAATAATCACTGGAGCAGAGAATAAAGTAAGAGAAAAGAGAGGAAGGGAAAGATGGAGAGAACTAGAGTTAAGAGAAATAATGAAGAAAGCTGTTATTAGCATGTTTCATATGATACTGCTAGGTACTATTATAATAGTACTGGATCTTTGGTCCAATTTTTGAGCAAACCCTCCATTCACTACACCATATCTAGCTACACTATAATTCAAAAATTATTGATTAGGGTTTAAAAACCATCAGTACTGAAATGAGGGACCTATCGGAGAGGGCCAGGAGCGGTCGGCTACAGCCTCATGAGTTCCAAGGAGGTACCTTCACCATATCTAACCTTGGGATGTACGGGATACGTAACTTCTCAGCTGTCATCAATCCACCACAGGTATTGAGGGGATGCCCCTATAATTACTGTATAATTAGAGCCACAATGCCCCTATCTTATAAAAGGGTATGCTCCTATAATTATTATCTCATTAGTCTTGTATTCTTGCTGTTGGAGCAACACAGAAAAGAGTCATAGTTGACGAAGACGACAATAAAAAGTAAGGGCACGCCCCTTTTATTCATGTCACGTGACTGTTGCTATAGTTACAAGGTTGCCTCGGTGATGAGTGTGACGATGAGTTGCGACCATAGAGTGGTGGATGGAGCAGTTGGGGCTCAATGGCTCTCAGTCTTCAAGTCTTACATTGAGAAACCTTTCAAGATGCTGTTATAGAACAAAGCGCAAAATGCATATGTTGTAACGTGTAAAATAGTTTTAATTGTGTTTTAGCTACCTAGTGAATATTTATGTGTATAGGGATTAGCTTTATGTGTCATGTACATGTACATTTAAATTCTGTTTAGCTATTATAATAGATGAAATATAAAGCTAATAGCTATTGTTAAAACATAGTCTTTTTATAGTGTTCAGTTTCTTTTATTTAAGAGTGTTTAACGTACTACTAGTCTGCTACCTTCCTCTCTTGCTGGTTCACGTTAATCATTTTATCATAACATTTGAATTCATGACAATAATAATTAAGTAAATGTGAGAGTAAAGAGTGTATTAACATAGCTCCTCAATCTTTTTGCCTTCGTCCTTTTGTCCCTGTACTTCCTGTTCCTGTTTTCCCCACTGTGGTGGTGATGGTGGTGGTGGGAAATTTGTAATGTGATCTTTAGCTTTCACTTTGTGTGGAACAAAATCTGCAATAAAAGAAACTACAGCAAACAAACAAAAAATATAAACATACCATGAAGAAACTTCATTTGATTTGTGTTTTGCTGTACTGCCTGAGCTATTAATAATAATAATAATAATAACAATAATAATAATAATAATAATAATAATAATAATAATAATAATAATAATAATAATAATAATAATAATAATAATAATAATAATAATAATAATAATAATAATAATAATAATAATAATAATAATAATAATAATAAGGTAATAGTACCTAGATGTGTATAAGTGATCTGTTGGCTTTGATTTGTGCTGGAACTATTTGACACATTGTAAGAATCCAGAGCCAATTTACGAATGAATAATTCCTAAAAATAAGACAAGAATCACACATTCATGAAAAGAGAGAGAGAGAGAGAATGATTCCCTCTTTCTTGCAAGATGGAGTCACTCACTGCTGCCTTTCCAGCCACAGCTACTGATTCCTGTGACACTGCAATAGCATTCGGTGTCGTCTTCATCAAGAGTCTAACTTTATTTGATGGTAAAGTGCAATTTCCTGCTTTCTTTACCGATCCTCTGCCAGTCAAGGCTGGGCCCTCCTTCCTTGGAATCTTAAGTAACTTACTCGGGGACTTTTTGACTATTTTAGGGAGAGGAGCGTCCTCCTTTTTTGTTGATTTTGTTGACGATACGGAAGAACTGGATGAAGAGGAGGAGATCAGAGAGACAAATCTGTTGAACTCAGCAGGGTCCATTAGAGGTATTGACACACTTTTCTTCTGGCTGCCTTGTACTGGATTGACTGATGATAATGCACTAGATCCTCTTGAATGGGATTTTGCATTCTCCATTAATTGAAGGAAGGCTCTCTGTAGCTGTTCCCTCTGCTGTTCCCCTCCTCCTCCTCCTATGAGTCCCTTGTTACTACCGACAGCATTTGTGGCTTTGACTGGCTCATTTTCCTTCTTATTAGCTTCAATAGCTACCTCGTTTAAACTGTCTTTGCTTCCTGGGCTTGCTCCAACTTTTACAGGCTCTTTGGTTACATTTCCAGGTACCTCAATTCTTCCACCTCTATTGGTCGCCATTTTATTTTCTCTAAAGGGTTAAAATTTATCTGGCTCTTGACCACGCCTTCTAATTAATTTTGGGGATTCATAACAGTATTCATTACACACGTGTAATAATGTCGTCAATATCTTCAGGAGGTTCTGGATCTGTCAGAGGAGAGAAAGTCGAGGAGATATGGCAGAATGTACAAGATACGCTCAGAGAACAACGCTATCCAGTGAATTATCGTCATTATTATTATTATCATTGTTATTGAATAGAGCCACGCCCACTTCCCTGTTGTCCAATCATTGAAGGATTTAGTGAATAATTCCGTTCACATTGAAACCAGTGGAGACCCACTAGTCACTGCTTGGACTGCTCAGTATGTTACGAATAGATGCACTCAATCTAGTCCTTAACTATTCTTTTAGGCCTGGAGGTTCCAAAGACATACAAATTGGTTTTCAAAGGTGTATATATAGTATAAATACTTATAATGCTTACGAAATAGTACTTAACATATGTCTACATTAAATGCATTTACATTCAAGCGTTGGAATCAATTAATGCATTGAAGCATTGGGATCAATGCATTCAAATGTATAATAATAATGTGGATATTACCTTAGAACTATTATGTTCATAATTTTCAAGCAACTTCAAAAATTTAACCAGAGTCTGCTCAAAATTTCTACAATCTTATTGCCTCTTTTTGATGTTACTATTAATATCATTATTATTATTTTAATATGTAGTTTCATTGATTATTTATTACATGAGACTGATTCATACAAGACAGAGCTCCTTAACTCTCTTGTGTACCCATTATTTGTACACTGCTATGTCTCTCTAGTATCATCTAATGAAACAGAATCAGGTATAATAGCTCCTGCATGTACACACATACATTGTAAGGTGTGGTTTATGTTCGTAGCTAAGAGGCTGTATGCTGATACTTCTCATAGCATTGATTCTCATTGTGTTTCAAATGATGAGCTGCAGCAGCTGCTGTCACTCACTTCAGCTGCTAGTTTGCAGTCATCTCCACTAGTAGAGAAATACAGGTATCATAATAATAGCGTATATGATCGTGAAACTCTCTCCCTCTCTCTCGTTAAGAAGTGGAAAGTATTTCGTTCGGCTCTCAGAGCTTGCCTTTACGATGCTGATGTCATTTCTCCAAGTAATGAGAGACTGATATTATATTCTTTATTTGTTTTTTTTAAATCACTCGATCATTTCAGGCTCATCCAACCACAGCTTTGCTCAACATTATACACAAGCACTTTAGCATTGAAGGTACTCCGATAATAATAATAATTATTATAATAATATTTATAAAAACTATTATCTATTTAACTACCTAAGTCTTTGGATGTAAAGTTAGCCAACCAACCTCCGAACAGAAAATGGAAGGAAAGAAAAGTAAAATATGTATTTTTGTATACATATATTTATTTAATTTTATGACACTTGTAGCTTCAAATTTCATAAAGCCAAAAATTGAAGTCCTACCAGAGTCCGATTTCAGTCTTTCTAGTTTCCCACGTCCTCCCATTCCTCCTCCTCTTCCTCCCTTTGTCCCTACCTCAACTGGGGAGGAGGCACTAGCAGCGAAACATGATTTTCAGTCCAAACTAACGGGAGCAACACAACAGCTGGAACCGTCAATACCCTCACTCTTACTCTGTATCGTACAGGCTACTGAGAACACCTGGTACCTTAGGGCACAAAATATTCGAGGGCTGTAAATTTTGTGAATTTGCCTAAAAATCTATTTTTTGGATTTAATTTTTGTGATTTTTGTGATGTCTGCCATTTTATGCCGTAATAATTTGATTTTCATGGAAGTAATTTTCACGGATTTGCAGCCCTCAAAAATTTTGTGTTATATGGTAATTGATAGATGCTATGTGTGCCTTGGGTTATTTGTGAAGGAGCTAAAGTTTAGCAAATTTGAGATTTTGATAAGATAAACCTCCAAAATTTAGCTTACAGTAGCTGCTATTTTGTGTCACTTTGCATGCTCTGGCCTCAAAATTAAATCAAAATTTTCTGCTCATTTGTGACTCTGAAATTACCCTGCCCACTTGACCACACCCCTAGGGTCCAGTGTGCTTCATTATCCAGTTGGTCTAAAGAGTATGCTTGCGGATTGGATGACTCGTCCGTTGTTATCTCGTCTTGGTTGCCGCGGTCCACTGAATCAGAGAGTGTATTGTCATTGAAGGGCCACCATGGTCCAGTGCATGGGCTTAGCTATTCCCCTAACGGCCAGTTCTTGTTGTCATCATCAGAGGACACTACTGGTAATGGACCCCTCTATAATCCTTAGTGTTTATGTTAGACTTTATATTGATGTCCTTATGCTGTGTAGAAAGTTTGAGTTGATTCCGGGCTCAAATTCTGGAGTTATGATCACTCTTTTAAAATGGCCAAATTTTGCAAAATACCCAAGGCTATAGCCCATGGTTTTTTCCAAAAAATGGCTCTGAAATTACCCCAAATTTTTATTACATTTCTGATACATATTGATGTCCTTATGCTGTGTAGCAAGTTTGAGCTGATTCCGACTTCAATTTTTCAAGTTACAGCCATTTTAAGAAAACATCAAAATTCTGAAAAATACCCAAGGCTATAGCCCATGGTTTTTTCCATAAAATGGCTCCAAAATCACCCCAAATTTTTACTACATTTTCTGATACATATTGATGCCCTCATGCTGTGTAGCAAGTTTGAACTGATTCCAACTTCAATTTTTCAAGTTACAGCCTTTTTAAGAAAACGTCAAAATTCTGAAAAATACCCAAGGCTATAGCCCATGGTTTTTTCCAAAAAATGGCTCTGAAATTACCCCAAATTTTTATTACATTTTCTGATACATATTGATGTCCTTATGCTGTGTAGCAAGTTTGAGCTGATTCCGACTTCAATTTTTCAAGTTACACGCCTTTTTAAGAAAACGTCAAAATTCTGAAAAATACCCAAGGCTATAGCCCATGGTTTTTTTCTGAAAAATGGCTCCGAAATCACCCCAAATTTTTATTACATTTTCTGATACATATTAATGTCCTTATGCTGTGTAGAAAGTTTGAGCTGATTCCGAGCTCAAATTTTGGAGTAATGGCTATTAAAAATCTTTCCTTCATTAGTAAGACTATGGAACACTTCTTCTCATTCTCCTGTTGCTATATACGAAGGTCACTCCTACCCTGTATGGGACGTCTCTTTTAGGTACATGTACATGTACATATCGTCATAAATATTTCTCTGCGTTCCTCACAGCTCGGTCGACGGGTATTTCACAACTGCTAGCTATGACAGGACAGCAAGACTCTGGAACACTGATAGGGTTTATCCTTTAAGAATATTCGCAGGACATGAAGATAGTACTGATGTAATAACTATTCTTTACCTTTTATTATCCTTTTCCATATGCATACTTGTACAATACGACTGCATATTTTTTTCCTTTTATATTCCAAAGGTGGTTCACTTTCATCCGAATGGTAGCTACATAGCAACTGGTTCTAAGGACCACACCAGTAGGCTATGGGACATTAATACTGGGAATTGTGTCCGCTTGTTTCCTGGCAGTAAAGTACAGTCATAGTATAATGAGGATGTACTTGTATGTTTCCATTTTAATTTTAGTCTCCAATCACTGTTATCGCCTTTTCTCCTTTTGGAAAACAAGTGGCTACTGCCAGTATGAACATGCACTTATTGTTTAATAATAATGATTTCCTATCTCTTTTACACTATTCACACACACACACTCTCTCTCTCTTTAAGCTAATGGTGGTACTATTACTCTGTGGGATTTGGGCATGTCAAGGATTGATTGGGAAGTGAAGGCTCACACACGAAGCGTGACATCACTAGCTTATAGCTGTGATGGGACACTCCTGGCATCAACCAGTGAAGACAAGACCATCAAACTGTGGAACATGAAAGCTGTTCTTGTCAATACAGCAAAGTAAGGAGAGAGAGAGAGAGAAGCTTATACACAATTAGCTATCAATCAGTATCAATAATAGCTTGAGTGCAATGTCTATAAAGTTACTGAGATTATTCTTTATTATTATTATTATTATTATTATTATTATTATTATTATTATTATTGTTATTATTATTCCAGTTCTGGATCCACTCAAGGTTTGATCAGTACCCAGTCCACTGGTGACCTCCTTCCTCTTCATGTTAAATTCACTCACAGGAATTCTCTCATTGTCATTGGTGTGTCACACAATGGCACAGCCAGTGGAGGAGCTGGGACCCAGACTAATGATGGTGGAAACACTAACACTAATAACAACATTCTTTCTCCTCCTGATAATTTTTTCTGGAGATCAAGCAATCATTATTTTTACAACTAGCAAGCTATAGCTTAGTGAAAGAAAGAACCCTGCACCTATCCTTTATTTGAGGGCTCATTTTTTAAAATTTTCCATGTATCATGTTAACTGCTCTACATAGCATCTCTTTCTTTCTCTGTGACGTGAGTGTTCAGTAAAATTCATAGCAAAATATGTTTCTAAAATAAGACAATAAGTATAAAATAGGCCTACGTTACTTCCCAGCCAATATTGGGAGCAAAAAACACTACTACTTCTCACGTAAAAAAAATAATTAATAATATAATTATAGTCATTCATTTTTTGACTTCATTGCTATTAGTTGTAGTGTTAGTCTCTTGTCCAATGATGCGTGTAGACTCACGAATTTTAGCACCAAATAATTTAAAAGCGGCAATCTCAATATTAGACACTGGGAACTCAACAAAGACAGTCACCAAACCAGCTGCTCCATAAGACAGGACCACGATACCAATACAGAAGATAGTCATTGTGGTGTCACCATAAGAGATGGGTTCTCTTAGCTCACTGTAGAAAACAACAAGAAGTATCTCATGTACAAGGTAAGCATTGAAGGTCAGTCGACCTAATGGGACCCAAAAAGGTAAAGAAAGGAACCTGTTTATGACTCCTCCGTAACCATAGTGACAGGTGTAGGTAACAATAGCTAGAGCAACTCCCCATGCTGGCCTGGATAGCATAAAGTAGACAACGTCTCCAGCCTTGGAAACCTCGTGACCACGAAAGTTACCATAAAACCCGTACACTACAGACATACCTATTATAATAGCATGACCCCATAGGACTAGGTGGAAGATCCAATTGAGCTGCTTACTAAATGTAGTCTGGTAGTTTTTAAATATTATATATCCGCAGAGAATACCAATAAGGTAAGGACCAATCCGACAATATGGTTTACCATATATCTGATTATTCATGTCAGGTATACTTGCATTTGGTGTTATGCCCGCATATAAATCATATATTTCATTAGCTGGATAGCCATAAAAACCAGCAATGAAGCCAGTGACTCCCATAGAAGCTGCTAGAGTGATCCCAATGCTAACGAGACCGATTCGAAAGGAGGCATAGAGTACAATGAGGAACAGAGGAGTGATAACAAAGAACTGCATATCATTGGCTAAGTACCAAGCCCACCCCATGCACTGTTCACCAAAATTTGACGGATAAAAGTTATTGATGTAGAGGAGATTGGTCCACCAATAAGAGGAACAATACTTATATGCGAGTGAATCAGGGCCAGCAATACTAGGTGTCCTTGGACCTTTGCCTAAATAGACAGACAAGAACCAATAGAAGAATAAAACGAACATGTACGTGGGCGTGAGACGGAGTATCCTGTGGAGGTAGTACGTGATGTAAGGAAAGCTTCCATTTCTTCTTTTCATTTCTCGGAGAGTCAGGTAAGCAACTAGGAATCCGCTTATATAGAAGAAAGAGTCTACGGCAAAGAATGCATTGGTGACAGCTTGAGCAGTGAAGCGTGGTATAAAAGAGCTGACGACGAAATTGATGTTTTTAAAGCCACCAACCATCAGTATGAAGACATAGGTATGGCCGAGTATTACCCAGAACATGCTAATGACTCTCATACCGTTGAGATTAGTGATAGCAGCTGGTGGCTGGTAGGTTGACAAGACGACCGGGACATTCTTATAAAGAGAGAAACCGAGTAGACACTCTTTGAGGAAAGTCTTGAAACGCTTGCCGAACATTCTTGAAGGTTTTTTCACCTTGCTTCCAAGTAATGAGTCAGTTTCTAGCGAGTGTTCCGGTGTAACAGTATTATCTTGACTTGTGGTCAATTCTGTCTTATTACACTGATTTTGTGGATCATCGAAATACTTGAGAGCAAGGTCAAAAACTGATCCAACAAGAGCAAGAAAGAGCAAAATAAAGCAGAGCGTGATCATGACGATTGCACCTGCATCGTAAGGCCTGCCACTTTGAGGCGTGCTCATAAAGAACTGCTGTCCATCAGACACGGTTTCGTTCACAAATAATGATAAATTAAACATCTCAAGGGATTCATTCATTTGATGGACAACTTCAAATATATCACTAGGGGTACAGATAGTAGGTACGCACAAGCCTTCATAGAAAACAAATATTGGAGATTCATCGGCCGTCCTAACAACAGCTATTCCCATTAAACTATAATTCATGGGTACACTAGTCTTGATGCTTAAGCATTCATCAAAGGACCCTTGGAAGGCAGTGTTACCTTCTAGTATCCCCGATCCTGGTTTACCGAAAGAATCGAAGACTGCTGTTGTTGCATTGACAGAGAGACTTCTTCCTCCAGTCTTTTGTGTATATTTCTCTTTTTCTAGTTTCTCCCAAGCATCTGCGCACTTTAAGGAGCTGTTGGCTTGTTCACTGAGCAATTTTGGGAACATCTCGTGAAAAATGGTGAGAACATCTTGTATTTCCTCTGGTGTTATTTCTTGTAGATTTGGAGGGCCCAGATATGGGAGCCTCCCAGCCTCTTGACAACTAACAGAGGAGGAACATGCCAGAAAGAAGAAGAGAAACAAAAGCAAGTGACCTTTCCTGTCCACCATCTTTTTTTATCTTCTGTTATTGGTTGATTGATTGTGATCATGTCATGTCATGTGATAGATACTATGCCTATGTGCTTTGACCTTGCAAAACTGCTGCATCATTTTTATAAAAATTTAGTAATAACAAAGGGCCTATCATTCAAATAATTATTAACAAAAAAGTATAAATCCTAAAACAATACTGAGAATGACATACACACACACACACACTCACAGCAATATTACTCAAAAAAAGGCAAACAATCTCATCACTGTTTCTTTTCACTGCTTGGACTTTCAGTCTTCTTCACAATACGTGTAGACTCACGAGTTTTAGCACCAAATAG